ATCATTAAAACAAAAGTACAAGAAAGCTAATAGATTAATGACAAAGTATTACCATACAACATTATAAATTACCTGCGAATTCATAGCCTCTTACTACGTGATTTACCACACGTACCCAAAAGTAGTTGGAAAATTAGGGGTACCAACAATTCCCTAACGTTAACTACTATATTTCAAAAAGTATCGTTGTTTGTGTCAGAATGTTTAGCGCGATTTTCTAACGATAGTTTGGTGCAGCTGTACATATATAACGTGTCCGATAATGACTCCCAAAAAGATATCTTACTTACTGGGGATTATAATGAAATGATAAAAGGAGGTACATAACATGTAACTTATCCGAACGTTGCTTAATCCACATAAATTCCATAACTCATTAACACATTATCATATGCAACCAAGGATTTCTTATGGTCTATTCTGAATTTATATTATGTGAAGGTGACAAGCTTCTTTTAAGAGAACAACTGATAGTCTAAACTGAAATCTTCCAAACTACATACAGATGATCTATGATTATGTGCATTTATTAATGATATAGAGGAAAAATGCATCCTATTACCGAGAGGGAAAGGACGGGGCAGCTGTTCTCGTTCCTTTTCTCTTCTCCCTCTCTCTCTCTCCTTCCATCTCTAATCCTCTCTCCCTCTGTCTTTTCATGTCTTCTCTTTCTCTCCCCCATAATTTTCTCTCTCTCTCTCTCTCTCTCTCTCTCTCTCTCTCTCTCTCTCTCTCTCTCTCTCTCTCTCTCTCTCTCTCTCTCTCTCTCTCATTTCTCCCCTTCCTTCTCCTCTTCTCTCTTTTCTTACCTCTCTCCTTCCCCCTCTACTCCTCTCCTTACCTTCCTCTCCCACCCCCATCTCCTCTTCCTTCCTTTCCCTCTCTTTCCTTCCCTCCCTCTTTCCCTCTCTTTCCTTCCCTCCCTCTTTCCCTCTCCCTCTCCCTCTCCCTCTCCCACCCCGTCCCCCTCTCCACCCCCACCCCCAAGCATCCATCAGGTGACGATCTGCTTGCGCAATCCCACTCTTTGCGGCAGGGATTAATTGGTGTTAATCAAGGGGCGATAAAAAGCAATTTCGGAGATAAGAGCCGACAAGAAACCCGCGAAGGTATCAGGACTCCGTTAATGAGTCGTAGCGGAGTTTTGGGTTTCTCGGTCTACGTTTCTGATTTTCTATTTTCTTTTTCTCTTTTCTTTTTTTTTTCCTCTTTGCTGCGATTTTTTTTATGACTCTCTCACCATCCCTTCCGCGATTTTTTTAAGGCTTCTTGATTTTCTTTTCTCTTTCCTTTTTTTTAGGTTTCGCTCTCTCTTGCTCTCTCGCTCTCTCTCTCGCTCTCTCTCTCGCTCTCTCTCTCGCTCTCTCTCTCGCTCTCTCTCTCGCTCTCTCTCTCGCTCTCTCTCTCGCTCTCTCTCTTGCTCTCTCTCTTGCTCTCTCGCTCTCTCTCTTGCTCTCTCCTTTTCTCTTTCTTTCTCGCTTGCTTGCTCGCTTACTTGCTTGCTTGCTCGCTCTCTCTCGCTCTCTCTCTCTCTCTCTCGCATTCTTCTCATTCTCTCTCTCATCACAAACCTATATCACTCACACCCCCCCCCCCCCTTCCGCCATAAGCCCGGCTCAGCTCACAGCCAAAGCATCCCGAGTTTAATAACTTTCTGAAGATTTTAGTTTTCTTAGGCTGACTTACGCAGACCAGGCCTATTAGCAACAGAAAGAAGCGTTTATTAAGAAAGGCGAGGGAAGAGGAATATATTTTTTTTATATGTATAGAGGGCCTGGGAACTATATATTTTTTTATGCATAGATGGCCTAGGAATGTACAACTGGATGGTATAAACGAGCGAGGGTAAGAAATTAAATGAAATAAAAGGAAAGTCAATGAGGTAATGATGCAAGGTGTAGGGTAGGATACTAAATAATGCAAACATATAGAACAGAGAAATGGGAAGTTTCGAATAAAAATGGAAATTAATTGAGCACAATTAAAAATAAATGAAATTGATGAAGTACATTGAAAGGAATAATAAAAAAACACCCATAAGGAAAAACAAACAAACACGTACAAACACTAACGAAATAACTGAGGAAAACGACAAATGGAAGATGAAAAAAAACAGGAACTCATGACCAAGCAAAATGCTTACAAATAAATTAAGAAGTAAGAATTGACAAGAAGTTTGAGGAGAAAACAAAGAAAACAATAATCGGGATCAAATGATAACAATAATAATTATTATTCTTATTAACAGTAATAATAGTAAAAATACAACAATCATAGCGATAAACCAGAATTACAAACCACAATAAAAAAAAAAAAACACCACCACCTACCACCAAGCCACCAAACCACTCTCCCCCCCATCCCCCCTACCCCCTACCCCCCACCCCCCTACCCACCAAGCCACGCCTCCCACTTACCTCGACCAGCAACTTGGCGCACTTGACATCAGTGACGAGCGGAACGGAGAAGTCGACGGCCATGCGACGCGTCCGGTAGCCCTGAGTCATGAAGGAGGACACGCGCCGAGCACCTCCGCCGCGCATGGGAAGGTTGATCACCAGGTCGAACTCCTGCAGAAGGCGGCGAAGGGCGGGAGTGGTAAGTTAATGGGGGGTAGTGTAGATAGAATTAATAAATGTGCTTGTTTATTTATTCCATTTGACTGTTTGTTTGTTTTATTCAACGTGGTTATTCCAACATTATTTTTGAATGGTTATTTTTATAAAATCTCTTTATATATATATATATATATATATATATATATATATATATATATATATATATATATATATATATATATATATATATATATATATTATATATATATATATATATATATATATATATTATATATATATATATATATATATATATATATATATATATATATATATATATATATATATATATATATATATATATATATATATATATATATATATTATATATATATATATATATATATATATATATATTATATATATATATATATATATATATATATTATATATATATATATATATATATATATATACATATTATATATATATATATATTATATATATATATATATATATATATATATATATTATATATATATATATATATATATATATTATATATATATATATATATTATATATATATATATATATATATATTATATATATATATATATATATATATATATATATTATAATATTAATATATATATATATATATATATATATATATATATATATATATATATATATATATTATAATATTAATATATATATATATATTATAATATATATATATTATAATATTAATATATATATATATATATATATATATATATATATATATACATATATATATATATATATGATCTTAATGTACTTAACTAGCAGAGATGGATATCTTTTTTTAATATACACGTTATATATTCCTTCATTTCAGAAAGTTTGTCAGAAATTCAGTTAATTCTTAAACTTAATACCCTATCTGAAAAATTATATACTTGATGATTAACAACTCTATTTTTCTATTCTATAATAAACCACACCCTGAAATAAAATACACAAAATGTAAATCAATCCACAAATATACGTGTATATGTACCCGTATGCTGTAGATGAGGCCCTGTTGGCGCAGCGTGGAAGAAAATTAAAATACAAATTATATTTCACTACCAAAGGTCAAGACGAAGGTGAGATTACGTGCAAATATTTTTGTCTGACTGAAATAACTTATGAAGTGCATTTGTGCGGGGAAAAAATGTCTCTGGGAACACCAACGCCTTTAAATGATAACTATTTTCTTGAAAGATATTCTAAATTGTATTATCAATATGTCATAAACATTATATATACCAACTGCTTTATTTAAGCCAAATCATTAAAAAAAAACAAGTGACAATCGAGTCACACTGCGCCTTGAACCAATAGCGAGTTTCTTTTGTTTCAGGAACAGAAAAGAAAATGGCGCCTTCCCGCTCTACAAGTGAGAGAATAAATGTTAAAAAAAAAGTCGAACAAAGGACATGATCGAGTGAAATCATTCCGTGCGATTGAAAGAGGGAGAGAAAATCAAAAATAATAAAATAAAAACGTTGCTTTTCATCACCACCACCACCATCATCATCACAAACGCACAAACATAACTATACAAAATAAGAGTGTTTTCGTTTTGCTTCTTCCTGACAAATTCATGCATCTGAGCTCAAGGACACGACAGAACCTCCAGTGGGTAATTGTGGCTCAAAAAAAAAGAATTAAAAAAATATATATATCCATTAGGCTGAACAGCATCGCCAAAGAAACATGTCAACATAAATGCAGCAAATCCTTTTTTTAAAGAATATAGAGAAATTCAAGCACATGAACAGCTTTGCACCGCCATCTTGGAAAAAAAAAATAATGATCTTCCTCCAACTTTTCTTTAAAAGAAATAATTCTAAGTGTTTAAACCAAACCTTTTTATTATTATTATTTCTTAGAATATTTACACTTTAATCATTAACGGATTACACCACTTGTGAACGCCGATGCTTTCCGCCTATGGGTGACTTGTGACCAGTTAGAGAGAGCGGGCACAAAGCTTTAGCACTGATCACACTCACCAGGGGCTTTCGAGGCGAGGTATGTCTCTTTTGTACAGGGGACATGTAACGGGTTAGTATATATTACCTTTATGATCATATTGAAACTTTTGACTTTTTTTTTAATCATCCTTTTAAGATATAAAACATATATGCATTGGTCGTTAAAAAAAAAAAAAAAAAAAAAAAAAAACATGAACCGACATCTGCGTGAATTGTGTGCGTCTTGAGATCTAACCAACATGTCGACTTTTCCTCCCACTAATATATCATTACTTCTTCATTATTAATCTATATTTTTTTAAACTGTGTCACCTCAAAATACTAACCTTTCTGGCCAAATAATCGGCCATGGAAGAGAGCTGGCCCTTGGTGGGCGTCTCGCCAATGTTCTCGTACGCCCATTCCACCGGCTCGATCTGGGAATTGACGAAAATAATGATAACGATGGTAATAACAATGGTAGTATTAATAATGATAATGATTAAAAGGGGGGAGGAGGAGGAGGAGGAGGAGGAGGAGGAGGAGGAGGAGGAGGAGGAGGAGGAGGAGGAGGAGGAGGAGGAGGAGGAGGAGGAGGAGAAGAAGAAGAAGAAGAAGAAGGGAGGAGGAGAATTGAAAAAGGTTTTGGAGGAAGAGGGAAGGAGGGAGGAGGAGAACTGAAAAAGGTTTTGGAAGAAGAGGGAAGGAGGGAGGTAGAGGGAAGGAGGGAGGTAGAGGGAAGGAGGGAGGTAGAGGGAAGGAGGGAGGTAGAGGGAAGAAGAGAGGAAGAGGGAAGAAGAGAGGAAGAGGGAAGAAGAGAGGAAGAGGGAAGAAGAGAGGAAGAGGGAAGAAGAGAGGAAGAGGGAAGAAGAGAGGAAGAGGGAAGAAGAGAGGAAGAGGGAGGTAGAGGGAAGGAGGGAGGGAGAGGGAAGGAGGGAGGGAGAGGGAAGGAGGGAGGGAGAGGGAAGGAGGGAGGAAGAGGGAAGGAGGGAGGAAGAGGGAAGGAGGGAGGAAGAGGGAAGGAGGGAGGGAGAGGGAAGGAGGGAGGGAGAGGGAAGGAGGGAGGGAGAGGGAAGGAGGGAGGAAGAGGGAAGGAGGGAGGAAGAGGGAAGGAGGGAGGAAGAGGGAAGGAGGGAGGAAGAGGGAAGGAGGGAGGTAGAGGGAAGGAGGGAGGTAGAGGGAAGGAGGGAGGAAGAGGGAAGGAGGGAGGAGAATTGAAAAAGTTTTTGGAAGAAGAGGGAGGTAGAGGGAAGGAGGGAGGTAATGGGAAGGATGGAGGAAGAGGTAGGTAGAGTGAAGGATGGAGGAAGAGGTAGGTAGAGTGAAGGATGGAGGAAGAGGTAGGTAGAGTGAAGGATGGAGGAAGAGGTAGGTAGAGTGAAGGATGGAGGAAGAGGTAGGTAGAGTGAAGGATGGAGGAAGAGGGAGGGAGGAGGATTGAAAAAGTTTTTATTTATTCAATCCCCTCCCCCCCCAAAAAAAAATCTAAAATACTGTAGGCTTTCCTCGCCAACCAACCTTCTTTGGAAAACACTCTTCATTTAACTTTTTTTCCCTTCGTAACTGTATAAAATACCAAGACCTCCTTCACCTAAATAAATATAAAATAAATAAATAAATAAAATAAACACCTAAAAGTAAATAAATGAAAAACAAAACCAAAACAAAAGACAAACGGAATGCTCACCACCAGCATCCCACTCCCAACGAACACAGGAAATCGTTCAAAGCACGCTGAAAAAATCATTCACACACACACACACTTATCACCCTAAAACAAAACAAAAACAAAAAATGGGAAGAAAAAAAAAAATAAATCACAAAAAAGTAAGTAAATAAATGACAAAAAAAAAGTAGAACACTGGTGTAATACCGTGACGTCATGCACTGAAATCCCAGCTAACGTGCCACCGTGAATTACATTACTTGACGTCACGCGGTCGACTTATGCTCGCGAGATTAACATGAAGGAGGAGGAGGAGGAGGAGGAGGAGGATATGAGGATGATAGGATGATAGGGTATGAGGATGATGATAGGATATGAGGGAGAGGAGGAAGAGGATGATATGAGGATGCTGATAGGATATGAGGATGATGATAGGATATGAGGGAGAGGAGGAAGAGGATGATATGAGGATGCTGATAGGATATGAGGATGATGATAGGATATGAGGAGGAGGAGGAGGAGGATATGAAGAAGAGGAGGAGGAGGATATGAAGAGGAGGAGGAGGAGGATATGAAGAGGAGGAGGAGGAGGATATGAAGAGGAGGAGGAGGAGGATATGAAGAGGAGGAGGAGGAGGATATGAAGAGGAGGAGGAGGAGGATATGAGGAGGAGGAGGATATGAAGAGGAGGAGGAGGAGGATATGAAGAGGAGGAGGATATGAAAAGGAGGAGGAGGAGGATATGAAGAGGAGGAGGATATGAAGAGGAGGAGGAGGAGGATATGAAGAGGAGGAGGATATGAAGAGGAGGAGGAGGAGGAGGAGGATATGAGAAGGAGGAGGAGGGGGATATGAGGAGGAGGAGGAGGATATGAGGAGGAGGAGGAGGAGGAGGAGGAGGAGGAAGATATGAGGAGAAGGAGGAGAAGGATATGAGAAGAAGGAGGATATGCGGAGGAGGAGGAGGAAAAGGAGAAGGAGAACAAAGAGGAGAAGAAGGAGAAGGAGAAGAAAGAGGAGAAGAAGGAGAAGGAAAAGAAGAAGGAGAAGGAGAAGGAGGAGGAGAAGAAGAAGGAGGAGGAGAAGGAGAAGGAGGAGGAGAAGGAGAAGAAGGAGAGAGAGAGAGAGAAAAAAATAGAAAGAGAGAGAGCAAAAGGGAGAAAAAGAAAAAAAGAAGAAAAAGCAACTAAAAGAGAGAGTGTAACTAAGCGACAGACAGACAGACAGACAGACAGACAACTCGCTTGCGTCATCGGTTCCGCATACCAGGGATCTTCCAAAACTGATAAATGGAGTCAATTAAAAGGACTTAATTGACCAAGAAATAAAAACAACAGCATTTTCTCAAACTCGGCCATAAACAAGTCTGTATGAAGACGACAGAGTGATATTAAAACAAGCAGAATAAATGTGACGAGCATGCAATTGCCTTAGAGTGGAAATTGCCTTTGTCGAAGACGTCTATATATTGTGTGTCTATTCTTGATAGATAGATAGATAGACAGCTCAGATGAGTAGGTTAAATCGATGGATAGATAGACAGGCAGATAGATTTATAGATTTTAACATATAGGTATATAGATTGATCATCACAAACATAGTAACAAGAACAAAAAAATAACAAGTACAAAATAAATACACAATTATACAACTAAACGTATATATCTAACAAATAACCAGGTTAAAAAACTACATACACATACACACACACACACACACACACACACACACACACACACACACACACACACACACACACACACACACACACACACACACACACACACACACACACACACACACACAAAATCGCTCGGAAAACGATTTCGTAATAATTTTCAATCCGCACAAACGATTTCTTAATTCGAATTATCAACGGTATTATTAGAGTTCCATTTATCTCTTTACATTCTGTGACAGGTAAGGAATGCTTCTATTAATTCTTATCTTATCACGGGGAGTCGCAATCCCGGTATCTTTAATATCAATTAATATAAAATGACACCGTATCGATTCTCGTCCCGGCATTAAGCGATAAAGCGTTGGATGGATGGATGGATATATAAAGATAGATAGATAGATAGATAGAGAGGGAGGGGGGGGGGGGAGAGAGTGAGAGAGTGAGAGAGTGAGAGAGTGAGAGAGTGAGTGAGAGTGAGAGAGAGAGAGAGAGAGAGAGAGAGAGTGAGAGAGAGAGAGAGAGAGAGAGTGAGAGAGAGAGAGAGAGAGAGAGTGAGAGAGAGAGAGAGAGAGTGAGAGAGAGAGAGAGAGAGAGAGAGAGAGAGAGAGAGAGAGAGAGAGAGAGAGAGAGAGAGAGAGAGTGAGAGTGAGAGAGTGAGAGAGTGAGATAGTGAGATAGTGAGAGAGTGAGAGAGTGAGAGAGTGAGTGAGTGAGTGAGTGAGAGAGTGAGTGAGAGACTGAGAGACTGAGAGACTGAGAGACTGAGAGACTGAGAGACTGAGAGACTGAGAGACTGAGAGACTGAGAGTGAGTGAGTGAGTGAGTGAAAAAATCTGAAAGGGGAATACGAACTTAAATATAAAAAAGCTAAATACAAAAAATATATAAAAAAGTAAAATTCAACAACAAAAATACGAAAATAGATAAATAAATATTCCAGGAAAAAAAAACAGCGTTACGAGAAAAAAAGTCATATTATATATATATATATATATATATATATATATATATATATATATATATATATATATATATATATATATATATATATACATTACATAATAAAAAAAATAGATAAATAAATCCAGGAACAAAAGAAAAAACTCAAATTCAACCAAAACATAGCAAAAAAGGATTCCAGGAACAAAGACAAAGACATAAAAAAAATTAAAAAAAATATAGAACTAGGTGCCAGCGTTATCGCCGAGATGCTTCCCGGCGCTGCCTCGACCGCGACGGCAACAGTGCCACGCCGCCCACCTACGAGCGCGCACCTCTTCCTCTCGCTTCTACTCCTTAAGGATGTGATTTACAGTGCATGCGACAGTGCCAGGAAATTATCACTTTAACTCTATTCTTTCATTATTATTTTTTTTTATTATTTACCATTTCGTTGAATTTCGAATCACAAAATCGGATTTTCTGTTGCACATCTGGCTTATTTCTGGAAAGTGCTGACGATTGTGAACAGAGAAATGAATATATTGGGCTCTATGGGCTTCTGGAGCAACGTATTGCAGTAGCAGGTAAGACCCAGGAAATGTGTTAGCAAAGTACAGGCGAAATGAAACACACTTACTCTTTCTCTCTCACTATCTATCTATATATATGTACATGTATAAATATATATGTATATGTTATTTATATATATATATATATATATATATATATATATATATATATATATATATATATATATATATATATATATATATATACATACACATATATATGTATATATGTATATGTATATACATGTGTATACACACACAGAAATGTATGTATATACATATTTAAATTCATACATACACAATGAAAAAAATCATATATATATATATATATATATATATATATATATATATATATATATATATATATATATATATATATATATGAAAGACCGCCCTTGTGCCCTTGTTCATCGCCACAACGACCGAGACGAACGAAACGATCATCCCCTCCGTCCGGATCGCCTTTCGTGATCTTCAACCGCCTGATCCGGATGCCTGCGTGCCATGCAGTACTAGGCCGGGCGCATACGAACGAGGGCGATAAGGGAGAAGTGATAAGAATTCTTGCTCATAATAAT